ACACGTTCATGGCATTACGAGGCACATGTGACTTGTATGGACATGTCTAGTTAGGGCTGCTGACATAATTTCTTGTTTTTCCGTGGGGTGGTGCATATGTTTTGATAACATAATTCTACAAACATCATACTTGATATATTGATATTATTTTATTAGGTGCAATAAAATATATTAATTTAATACGGGTGGCTTATGCCGCCCTGTATTAAAATAAACTATGAGTCACCGTGATTCGTAACACCCAGCAGCTGCCTAAATGTTTATCTACTAAAGCTGTGAACGTGTTAAGAATTTCCCGACAGTGGCATGTGATATATGTTCTGCTGTGAAGCTGTAATGTTTCTAGACTTTTATGTAGTGTATGTGGTAAAATGCCTGTGCAAGAAAGGACTATTGGCACAATAAGTACTTATCCATTCTCCACAGATATTCAAAACTCATAAGTTTTTCAGTACATATATTTTCTATAGTAGAAGTTAGGAATAACATTGTCTATGGCGTATGTGATTTTGTTTTGTTGTTATGATAGATTGTTTTGTCTGCAATTGCGGTTTGGTCACAGTGTATTTTCCACATGTTTTCTATCAGCATTTGTTTATAGTTATAATGTGGTTGTTGGGCTTGTAATAGTTTGTGTTTACATGCAAGCTTTCGATGTATTTAGTTGCTGTTGGTTTTGTTGATGTATGTAATTAGTTTGTGTTAAAATCTCAGAATCCAACTAATGTGTTGTATAGTTTTTGTGTGTGACAGCATTTCCTAAATCTGTCATATTCAAGTATGTCTTCTGTGATAGATAGATGTAGATCAGTGTTGTGTATGTTTAATAATGTATTGCTTTTGAAAGAGTTACAGCTTTGTGTAATTGTATTTTTCTTGTTTTTTTGTAGAAACAAGACTTGTAGAAAAACTCGTATGCCTGTATTTGTTTGTACGGAAGATTTAGTATACACTCTCCCCTCATTTTGTCACTCTCATAAATGCCACTTCCTCAATTCTGTCACTGCCCTCAATTGTCTCACTTAATACATAAAACAATCAAAAATCACTGGAGTAATAAAATCCTGTTCTATTTTTACATTAAGTAATATTATATCATACTATATTAGTAGATAAAGCACTTGTTAATTAAATGAAGGATCACAATTTAACCCTTTCCACAATTCATGCCAAGTCCATAGAGGAAGTTAAGGAAGTTAACAGGTGATCCTTTTGAGGAATAGAATGTAACTCCACCTGAGACCTATTGTGACCTACTAACACACTGCTTCTTTGTAAAGTGTTGGTTTCAGTTTTGGTGAGGACACACATTTTACTTTTAATAGATATACAGATTTTCTTAAATTGATGTAGTCTTATCATTAATATATGTTTTTGGAACCATTGTATTTAACAGTGTATATCTATTTCGCTTCACTCTTTTATATAGTAATGTGTCAGAAATGAGTTTTTAAACTTTATTTTAAAATTTAGAAACATTAGTTATATTTTCTATGATATATGAACAACATATGTAACTGTGATGTAAAGCTGTGATGTTTTATTTTAAAAATAAAACTATAAATACTTTGTGTTGGTACAAAGATATTTGATTTTGTCAACAAAGTTTGATAGTCCCAAATAGGTAACAAAAATGAGATTTTATTAGAGAGTCAGCCTTTCTATTTAAGTGGTATGTTTTAAGCTCTGTTAATGTTGTTTGTGTTTTCTTTTAGTCTACTACATGCATAACTCCAAATGAATATTTAAGTATTAGGAAAACATATGCATGCTGCTTATGTGTACTGCTTTAAATGTGTGTTTTGTATTCAACTGTATTGTTGGACTGCAATTAGAAAAAATTGTAGACCTATAAATTCCCACTGTCGTCCATCTGTGTCTGTCCTTTCTTAATCTCAAGAATGAGTTAGGTAGATGTACGCTAAAACCAGATATGGAAAGATTAGGGGTAGGAGGCCCCAATTAACTATACACAAACTTCTGATGCAAACCGGAAGTCATGTTATTTCAATTAAAAAATTTTCCTATGAAGGAGTTAGATAGCAATTGTCATGCCGATCCTCTAACAGGAAAAGTATGATATACAGGAGCAAAACATCTACTAGTTTGAGATGATAAACATATATTCGAGATTAAATAAATTAAAACATATGATTAAATGTTGCAGCTAGCATTGTGATGATGTCACAATAAATAATTGCTCATTAGTATTGAGTTCTTTTATTAGTCTGTGTTTTATTTGTATATGTTCTGTGAGTTTGGCTTGTTGGAATTCTAAATATTTGTAGATCTAGCTTTCATCCATGGATTCAATGATTTCTCCATTTCTATGTGCAAAATTATCTATTTTTAGGATTCTTTTTTTAATGTAAAGTGCTTTGCATTTGTCTAATCCCAGCTTTTTACTACATCCTTTTTCACTGTTCTGTGAGAAGGTATTGTTCTATGTTATAGTACATTTTGTTTGTCATTCTGTATAGTGCAGGAAAGTGTATGATTGATCCGTATTATATAGGGTTTCTGATGTTCTCCTCTTGAAATTTTTTACCAGAAATGATAAGTGACAGAATTATTGAGTTCTACATAAGTCAGAAAGTGCTTTTTATCTGTGATTGGTTGTTTGGTTTGGTTTATTTGGTTATGGCAATGCAACACCTGGGGAATCTGTCAATGGAGGATGCCTCCTGGGAAGACTTATCTAAATAGGAGCCAGTTTTGCATATTACAAACATGAAGCAAATGCGTGAAACTTCCCTTGGTCAGTCTTTTGGTGAGGTGCAAACCCTGAACTACCAGTGTTCAGTGGTTTTATCCAGTTTGTCTGTGAAGTTTAAAGTAATTGCATGACCAGTAAACATGGTTTTTTGCAAATATGTACAACTTGGCAAGCCAATGTTGTGAGAAAGTCAGAATTTTGGAATATGATCTATGAGTTGAGATGTTTGAGGTTTTGTCATTCAATCCTACTGATCCTTAAAATACCAACATTAAGCAGGCACGCACACAAACAGTAACAAAAGAACTTTATTAAAATAAGATCAGAGCTGTCGTGTACATCCTCAGGCTACATCCGGGCAACTCCACAAACTTTTTTCCTTTATTCTTGTTACCAGGCAACAACTCATTTTTAAGTGTTGCCAGACTGTGTTCACTATCTCTGGCACTGGCGGCCACAAGGTCAAAGTCTAACATGTAAATTCTAAGGGGTGATTGCAAGTTGGTCATGTGCTACATGTCAATTGAGTTTTCAATTGTTGTCAATTTACATTGATCTCTATAATGGGTGTTTAACTGCACAGCCTATGGCCACATGTGTCAGTTTTAACTAGTTTCTGGAGTAGATAGGCCATTGGCTATACATATGGGAGTTTTAAACATTCCTTGATTTTTTGTTGGTAATTACATTGGATATGCACGTCCTCCCTAGAATCTGTCTGTTTTAAACTCCTTTAAATAAAAAGTTAGAAGTATGTCACCACATTTGTATTTTTGTGTAAAGATGAAACAGAAAAAAACCCATACCACAGAGCCCAGTTTTGTTTTTTGCTATAAAATACCTAGTACAGTCTGACCAATTCAAGAAGGCACTACTATTAGTAAAGTACTCCCATTGGACTACTTTACTAATCATGCACAGGGGTGAGATAAAGCATGAGTCAGCTGGCATCCAGTTGACATACCTTATGGGTAAAGGGGTTAACTATGCTGACCAGTCACATGATGCACCTTTACCTCTACCAATGGTCAGTAAACTAGTCCATCACCTAAGTGCCTTCCTGGATTGGTCGGACTATATATATAACTAGTGAGATGGCAAAGACTGTTAAGGTGCTAACTTTCTATTCTAAGGATCTTGAGATCAAATCAAACAGTTGAAGTGTTCCTAGCAATTTTTCATGAGTTTATGTTCCTGGATATATTGGACCCTATCCCTCACCACCCAGTCATTCTCATTGTTAGCTTAGCTGAATCCATGATGGGTATGAAAAAAGGGGTACATAACAACTGGGCAATAGTTAAGTAGGCAACGGTTAACTGGAAGACCATTGTCTGGATGACAGAAACTTAAAAATTTTGCAGATAGTATTTAATTAATTAATTTTTTTAAATATTGGTAAAATATAAATATGATTAAGACTTACGAAGTAGGAGTTATAAGTTACAAACTACAAGTTACAAGTTATTTCCAACTTAGGAAAAAGAAATGTTTTGAAACAATGTACTGTAGCATCATTAATTATTTTATGTCAGAATGGTTAACAAAGCACATCAAAGAAAAGCAGTTCTCATATATTAATATTGAACTGGATTACTGTAAATACTTAAAGACAAAACCTATTCCAGCAACTATTTTTTAATTTATCTAATGCTTTAGGCTATCTGTTTAGCCATCATCAGCTACACAGATAGCCAAAAGCATTAGATAAATTAAAAAATAGTTGCTGGAATAGGTTTTTGTCTTTAAGAAAAGAAGTTCTTTTTTTTCCAAGAACTTTTATGCTTTTTGGTTTTAATTTATATTGTATTTAATGTATAATGTAATGTATTTTTATTTTAATGTAAGTGTTGTCTTTGTTTTTATGTATATTTCTTAATTTTGGGGTANCAAAAGTATTAATTCTGCATTCTGAGAAAAAGATCCGTAAATGTAAATTCAGAAATAACTCAGAAACAATGATTTAAATAACAATTCTAGTTCGTAAAAACACTAGTTTAAAGTAGAAAAACTATTTTAGAATTCTAATAAATATACAATTTATGTTAAAACGTAGTTAAAAATAATTAAAGTTAAAATATTTAAAATGCATAAAATGTTCTTAATAAGCTAATTCATTACGATATAAAAACACAAGGCTAAATTCTATCACATTTCTGGACAATGTTGTGGTTGGGAATCAAAAGTATTTATCTACTCGCTATGATAACATCAAAATTTCATCTTTATAATGGCATTGAAGGTGCTTATGACTGATTAAATTGACAGATTTAAAATAACTTACCTTTGATAGATTATAAAGTATTTAGAGGCCAGTTAGATGGAATGAATTAATGACACGTCATCGAACGGACCACCCTCGATTCTAATCGCCGACGCAGTCGAGAAACTTGGACCCTTCGCCTTTTTTTTTTTTTTTTTTCTTTCTTTCGTCCAACCAAGACTTAGTACACGTGGACTATCCACGTGCGTGATTACCGTTTCTAGACACTTGGAGAATAGTTAGTTGTAAATGATGATCTGATTGGTCAATCTGAATTATATTTCAAATATGAAAACAATTAACCAATCGTTATGCTGAAATTTCACACATATTTTAAAAATAATATTTATTGTAGAACGCCATCTTCTGTTGATTAAAATTATAAATGGTTTGTTAATTACAAAATCATTCTTTTAACTTTTAATTTAAATAATAGTTTTTTAAAAAACAAGTTAACAGTTTCTTAAAAATACCAGGTATTAGATCAATAGAGAAGAATGGTAATTTATATAAAGAAAACAAAAGATTTGTATTTTGTCTCTTGTTCATCTCTTATTTTGTCACCCAGATGTCTGGCATCCAGTTAGCAGTAGTCCAGTTGATGCTGTCCCAAAAATAGGTCCTCTTAGAGTCAAAGGGTGGAAAAAGTCAAAAAGAACATTTATATATATATATATTTTAACTTAATGTGCTTATTTACACTTCAACTATTAAGCCTGATATAAGAATGTTTCAGTCAAAATTAAAAATAACTTGTCCATAGTCACTATACAATTTTCAAGATATAAAAAAAATCATAATTGCATATCTTTGATAAATAATAGATAATTTAATTAAATTGCCTCAATGTCCTTTTTTCCTTATTAATATGTAAATTTTTTGACTATAAATTCGACTTTCATCTACTAAATCCATTCTCAAGATTAAGGAAAGACAGGCGAATGGACTGATGACAGTGGAAATTTATAGGTCCACAATTTTTTTGAAATTGTAGCCCATGAGACAAAGTAAAATTTAAGTATGAGAAAATTTTATATTAGTTGGGTCTTTTTTAAATAAAGCTAATTTAGTCATTATTAAACAATTTTTTTTTTCAAATTAAACATTATTAGACAAATGAATTAGCCTTGGAAAAGTCAAGAAACTAGAAGAAAAAGAAAACGATTACTTCCATACAGTCAACAATATTTTAATTGAGAAAAACAACATAAGTAGTTTAAGTATGTTAATGAGAAAAATTAATAATATGAAACTAAACAATAAAATAATTCTGTTTTATTTCAAACTAAACTATCAATTCTCTTTGAATAAAAATACTATTATGCTTTTTAATTTTACAGTACTTTAATATCAAATTTAGAAATGTAAAAAATTTTAAATTATAAAATTGAAGTATGTTATCTTATTTAAAATTAGCATCAGATATATTTATAGTAAGAAAATTATATTAACTAAATATAAAAAATTTGATTTAAAAGTTATAACCTTTCTTATTAGGAGAAAACATCTTTAATAATATTTTTATATTAAGAATAATTTCATGTGGCTAAAAATAAACTCCTAAGAATAAATAATTATCTAGTCTAAAAATAAATTTTATGAAGAAAATGAATTATGTGAAGTAAATCCATTTTTGTAAATTTAATATCTTGAAAGACTAAAGTATTTCTTTATGTATTGATTCTTTACTGATACCAGAAATTCTTGTTAAACTCTGAGATTTAATATTTATTATTATTATTCAATGAAGATAAAAAATTCAATTTTGAATATAACTAAACCGTTCAAATTAATTCTCTATTTCAATTACTGAGATGAAAGTAAAATAAAAAATTAACTGGAACTGTATCAAAGTCAATACTTCAGAATGCCATAAATGTTTTTTAATATTTTTATTAATGTGAAAAAATTTTAATCTAAAAAAATGTAAATTTTTATTGATTAATTATCAAAGTGAACTTTTTTTGATTATTTTAGAATTTCAAACTTTTACAGTTTATTTGAAGATGAATGATAGGCAATATATAAGATTAAAAAATTTTATTTTAATATTTAAAAATTGATAAAAACAAAAAATAATCTAAGCATAAATAAAACAGACTGTGTAAATAATTCTATTCAAAACTGTCAACCATGACGAGAATCAGTATAATCTTTAAAGGTCAAGATAGAATATAAAACCTGTTAAAGAAAGAGCTAGATAATAAATGTCCTGTGAAGTATGTCAATTTTTAAAAGCATTTCATAAAAATTTTTGTATAATTTTCTTAATAGTTATTCTGTTATTAATGACTTAAAACTTACAGCATAAAGTTTATAAAACAAAAATTTTTAAATATTTAATTTATTAAAATGAAGATAATTGATTAATATTAAAGTTGAATTAATTTAAAATTTTATTAAATTATATTTATTAGATTAGTACTTAGCTTGAAAGCACGCATTCCAGTAACTAAATATTTATTATCATTGTTCTAAGTTCATTTAATTATATTTTACTTAATAATACAATAGAAATTAAACAAAAGTATTAATTCTGCATTCTGAGAAAAAGATCCGTAAATGTAAATTCAGAAATAACTCAGAAACAATGATTTAAATAACAATTCTAGTTCGTAAAAACACTAGTTTAAAGTAGAAAAACTATTTTAGAATTCTAATAAATATACAATTTATGTTAAAACGTAGTTAAAAATAATTAAAGTTAAAATATTTAAAATGCATAAAATGTTCTTAATAAGCTAATTCATTACGATATAAAAACACAAGGCTAAATTCTATCACATTTCTGGACAATGTTGTGGTTGGGAATCAAAAGTATTTATCTACTCGCTATGATAACATCAAAATTTCATCTTTATAATGGCATTGAAGGTGCTTATGACTGATTAAATTGACAGATTTAAAATAACTTACCTTTGATAGATTATAAAGTATTTAGAGGCCAGTTAGATGGAATGAATTAATGACACGTCATCGAACGGCCCACCCTCGATTCTAATCGCCGACGCAGTCGAGAAACTTGGACCCTTCGCCTTTTTTTTTTTTTTTTTTTTTTTTTTT